GGGTGCAGGGCCCAAGCACCTGGGCCATCCTCCACTGCATTCCCTGGCCACAGCAGAGAGCTGGCCTGGAAGAGGGGCAACCAGCATAGCAATGTATTCTATATAAAGAACTGGAAGAAAGGGGCTTGGGCTGATAGGCACCCAAGATAAGACACAAACAAATGGAAATGCCGCTTGTCCATTGTAGTCAGTGTAAGCCAGGTATTGGTGCTGAAAAGCTGCACAGTACTCCTGAAAAAGGTGCAAATAGTTCATAATAAATGCAAATGAAAATTTTAAAAATTGAAAAATTTCTTTTCCTTTCCTTGGATCTTCATTGGAAAATGAATTTTTAAACAATTGATGCTAAAGAAGAAGAACATAATACTATTTTTGTTTTACTCTAAAGCTCATTTATGTATTTTATTTATAAATTCAAGTTCATCTATTGAATGGCTATTGTGGGCTGGATGCCTGAAGAAAATGAAAGATCTCTTTCCATCTCAGGTTCTATCTGACCTCATAGTCAGGTAAGTCTTAAAAATGCTTAGCAGCTTTTAGTTCCATCTGCATCAAATTTAAAAATTTGTTTATAATTTCTAAATTTACTTTTAATGTGAAAAATTATAGAGCTTTCAGATTGAGTTATTAGTCAATATGGATATTATTAATATACTGAGACTGTTCTAGATTATGCTTTCTTTTTATGGGTATTTATATATTTAAAAATATTAAAACATTTATTAGATAGTAATACCTATCAGTTTAAAGATTTTCATCTATAAATCAAAACAGCATGATACTGGTACAGTAACAGATGGATAGACCAAGGGAATGGAACAGAACCACCAGAAATCAATCCAAACATCTACAGCCAACTTATATTTGATCAAGGATCTAAAACCAGTTCCTGCAGCAAGGACAGTCTATTCAACAAATGGTGCTGGGAAAACTGGATTTCCACCTGCAGAAGCATGAAGCAAGACCCCTACCTTACACCTTGCACAAAAATCCACTCAACATGGATTAAAGATCTAAATCTATGACCTGACACCATCAAATTATTAGAGAACATTGGAGAAACCCTGCAAGATACAGGCACAGGCAAAGACTTCTTGGAAAAGACCCCGGAGGCACAGGCAGTCAAAGCCAACATTAACATTTGGGATTGCATCAAATTGAGAAGTTTCTGTACTGCAAAAGAAACAGGAAAGTGAAGAGGCAACTAACAGATTGGGGAAAAAATATTTGCAAATTATGCAACAGATAAAGGATTAATAACCAGAGTCTACAAAGAGATCAAGAAACTCCACAACAACAAAACAACCAACCCACTTAAGAGATGGGCCAAGGACCTCAATAGACATTTTTCAAAAGAGGAAATTCAAAGGCCAGCGCAGCGGCTCAATAGGCTAATCCTCTGCCTGTGGTGCTGGCACCCCAGGTTCTAGTCCCGGTGGGGGCGCTGGATTCTGCACTGGTTGCCCCTCTTCCAGGCCAGCTCTCTGCTATGGCCTGGGAGTGCAGTGGAGGATGGCCCAAGTGCTTGGGCCCTGCAGCCACATGGGAGACCAAGAGAAGCATCTGGCTCCTGCCATCGGATCAGCGTGATGCGCCGGCCGCGGCGGCCATTGGAGGGTGAACCCACAGCAAAAGGAAGACCTTTCTCTCTGTCTCTCTCTCTCTCATTGCCCACTCTGCCTGTCAAAAAAAAAAAAAAATGAAATTCAAATGGCCAACAGACATACGAAAAAATGTTCAGGACCACTAGCCATCAGGGAAATGCAAATCAAAACCACAATGAGGTTTCACCTCACCCCGGTTAGAATGGCTCACATACAGAAATCAACTAACAGATGCTGGCGAGGATGTTGGGGGAAAGGGACACTAATCCACTTTTGGTGGGAATGCAAACTGGTAAAGACACTATGGAAGTCAGTCTGGAGATTCCTCAGAAACCTGAATATAGCCCTACCATACAACCCAGCCATCCCACTCCTTGGAATTTACCCAAAGGAAATTAAATTGGCAAATGAAAAAGCTGTCTGCACCTCAATGTTTATTGCTGCTCAATTCAATTGCTAAACAATAGCCAAGACTTGGAATCAACCTAAATGCCCATCAACAGTAGACTGGATAAAGAAATTATGGGATATGTACTCTATAGAATACTATACAGCAATAAAAAAAGAAATCTGGTCATTTGCAACAAAATGTACAAATCTGGAAAACATCATGCTGAGTGTCATGAGCCAGTCCCAAAGGAATAAATATCATATGTTCTCCCTGATCAGTGACATCTAACTGAGCACTTAAAAGGAAACCTGTTGAAGTGAAATGGACACTATGAGAAATGATGACTTGATCAGCCCTTTTCCTTACTGTCGATGAACAACTTAATACTTTATCCCTTTTGGTATTTTTTTTTTCTCTACTTAATGCTATTGGTTGAACTCTTTAACACACAATTATTCTTAGGTGTTTAAATTTGACTGAAAAGTGCTCCCTGTTAAATATAAGAGTTGGAATAAGAGAGGTAGGAGATGTACAGTTTGGCACATGCTCAATCGGACTTGTCTCAAACGGCAGAGTTAGAAATATGCCAGGGGATTCCAATTCAGTCCCATCAAGGTGGCATGTACCAATGCCATCTCACTAGTCAAAGTGCTGAGTTTCAGTTCATAATTGATCATAATGAAATGACTAAGAGTCAAAGGGAGCACATAAACAATACTAGTGTCTGCTAATACTAACTGATATAATTAAAAAGGAGAGAACGATCCAACATGGCAAGCAGGATACATAGCAGAGTCATAGAATGGCAGATGTCCTAAACAGCACTCTGGCTTCAGAATCAGCCCTTAAGGCATTTGGATCTGGCTGGCTAAAAAGCCCAGGAGAGTTTCTCAGGCATGGATAGCCAAGATATTGTGGCCAAAAAGTGGCCTAAATGAAATATTTCTGTGAGTGAGGTCCCAGTGGAAAGAACGGGCCATCAAAGGAGGAGGTACCTTTCTCTGAAGGGAGAACTTCCACTTTGACTACAGCCTTGTCTAAATAAGATTGGAGTTGGCGAACTCAAGAGGCTTCCATAGCCTTGGCAGTTCATGACAAGAGCCTATGGTGATTACTGACGTCATAAATAAGAGTGTCAATTGTTAAATTAACAACAGGAGTCACTGTGCACCTACTTCCCATGTAGGATCTCTGTCCTTTTGTGTTGTACTATGTGAACTGATGGTAAGACTACTACTAGAACAGTACTCTATACTTTGTCTGTGTCGATACAAACTGTTCAAATCTTTACTTAGTAAATACTAAGTAGATCTTCTGTATATTAAGATGATTGAAAATGAATCTTGAAGAATGGGATGGGGGAGGGAGTGGGAGATGGGATGGTTGTGGGCGGGAGGGAGGTTATGGGGGGAAAAAGCCTCTATAGTCCAAGAGTTGTTACTTTGGAAATTTATATTTATTAAATAAAAGTTAAAAATAAAAAAGATTTGCATCTATAAACTAAATTTAGAAACAGTTTCTCAACCATTATACTTAGTGAAATAAGCCAGTCCCAAAAAGCCAAATACTGTAAGTTCTCCCTGATCTGTGGTAACTAATAGTGTACCTAAAAGGGAAGCTATAGGAATGAAATTGATACTTTGAGATGTGATGATTTTTAGCAGCCCTTGTCTCAGGTGCTGAGAAACAGCATTTTTTTGTTTTGTTTTGTTTTATACTATTTGTTGAACTCTTTACTTAGTGTAATATTAATCTTATGAGTTTAAAGGTAACTGAAAATAGATCTTTGTAAAAAATAAGAATGAGAATGGAAGAAGGGTGGGAATATGGGCAGCAGAGATGGTAGAGCAGATAGTATCACTATGTTCTTGGATCTGTATATAGGAAATACATGAAATTTGTATACCTTAAATAAAATTTTAAAAAAGAGCCTCTCTGAAAAATCTGTAATACCATTTAGTAACTTTAATTTATATATAATTAAAATCAGCTTTTAATAAAGATATATGTGAATACTTTAAAAAGTTAGGAATTAAATGGAATTATTTTTGTGAAAAAATTTAAAAATCACATGAGTCTTCAAATTGTTTATGAAAATATATGTTATGAGAAACTATGAATGGATTTAAAAATTTTTTTCACCCAAATAAACTATTAATGACATATTCTGTGATCTTTTTGAAGTACCCTTGTATTGCTACTGTGCAAAGCTGGGAGAGTTGGTTAGGAAATGGTTGATGTTTAAAGTTCTTAAAATACTATTCCCGCTTTAATATGCATTTTACTGATTTTTCAATATATATTTCAGGAAGGCTGACATTTTCCCTTATATATACTTGATCAATAAGTTAGTCATGATAAGCAAAAATTTATCTGTTTCTAATTGTATTTAGTTTCTGCTTTCTGGATTTAATAATGTCTAATATACATTACCATTTTCTTTCATAAAATATTTTAAATACAACAATATTAGAATAGCAAACTGTACTAGTATGTATTTTTTAGTATGTAACATACCATCAGTCTAGTCTTTTTTTCAAATACATTAGCAGTAATCAGGACAAATTTTGACTTTTTAAGATTGAACTGTTACAGACTGATCCATGTTGATCTATGTTGGATGGACTGGGAATATTATAGTGCCATAAGAGATTAACCCATTTCATGTAAACCATGCTTACTGCTATCAGATATATGACAACACAGTATAGGAATGCTGGATGATAAATTCATATTCAAAACTTTTGTCCTAGGTTTCACAAAGATCACTCAAGTAACCAAAAAATAAGCTTATGATACTTTGTATCTTTTTTACCTTTTAACATTGGGATACCTTGCCTCATTTTCTTCCCACATTGGAAAATTTTCTTTTTTTCTTCTAATAAGGAAAAACTTGTAAGGATTAGTGCAACTATAAATAAAAATAAATGTCACTTCTTCTTTTTGTAAATCCAAGGCCATTGCAAGAATTCTTTATTCCATACATTGAATGACTTAACAGTAAAAAAGTTTAAAAGTCACTCTTTATTGCACATTAACAATATATTTAACAATATTTTAGTTCAATGAATCACTAAATTACATTTTGGACATGCATTGTTTTATTAGACTCCTGAAAGCCGGTAATTTTTAAAAATATTTTCAGGTGATTCATCCTGCAATTTGGAAAATTTTAACATAGTTCTCTGAAATGTCTATTGATGGGCATTAGTCTCATTGTTTGTATTTACTACTGTTGCTTATAATAACTAAAACTGTTACACTAAACATATTTTTAGGTCTGTTCAAATAGGATGGTAAGTTTTCTTGATAATAGAAGGGGGCATAGGCAGAGATAACTGGGAACCAAACCTGAATATACCCTGCTAAATTAGTTCCCAGAGAATATTACTTATCTTTAATATATATAATTTGCCTGAGAATAAATGGTGATTGACTAAATATTTTAGCCATCAAGATACACTGTCTGTCCAGATTATCATTTCATTTTGTATTTTACTATTCTAAGTGGAGACAAAATCTCAGTCTGTACAATGAGGATAAGTATAAAAATGACATTGTAAAAGTGGAGCCCGAAACCCTAAACCAAGAACTATGATATTAATAGAACATTGTTGCTAAGTGCTGGCTAGGTTAGCTCTTGGGTAAAGTTTAGTTTGTTAATGAAAATCATTAATAAATAAGTCCATTATTCTCAGGCTTTTTATAAACACCAACAATTTATACAATGCAATATTATAAAAACTTCAAAGCACATTTAAAAAAGGTTTAAGCAATTGTTATTTACATCATTTATGATTGTTCAATTATAGTAAGGTACGAAAATTCCTAAAACGGAAAGAAAAAATAGCAAAGAAAGCAGAACACAATGAATCCAATGACCCAGTTCACTGAATAAATATAGATGACCACCATATCCATGTCAAACCACCATCCACGGCTATCATCCTCAAAGTGCAGATAATCCATTCTGTGTGCACCATGTGGGAACTGCCTTCTTGTAACTGGAGCTGCCCGTCTGTGGAAACCTAGGAGATAGACATATTTTAAATTTCATTAAATTCAGGGTAAGTGCTGAAAAGGAGGCTACATATGAACAATAACCATAAACAAAGATATCTTTAGGTAATTGAGTGGTATTTTGTGTTCCTGATGGTTTTTCTCAATGATGAGCAACTATTAAAAGTCTCTTCTAGGTCAGATGTTAAGGGCAACCACAGTAAAGTTAGGATATGGACTTAGGAGACTACCTTAGTTCTGACTCCTGCCTGAGGCAAGGGAACTATCTCTTTGGGTCCCAGATTTCTCATGCATATCATCTTATCGCTTAAAAAATTTGTGAGCATCAAATGTGATTATTTTCACATGAGAATATTTTCTAAATTCAACCACTTTATATTTTATTTTTACAATTGTTAATACAAATATAGTTTGTCAAGTTTTGATCACCATAATTACAACTTATGACTTAAGAATCTGATTCAGTGCAGTTTTTTGGGCAAGATAGTATGAGAAAAAAGGTCTGGTTTTCACAATAAGTAAATGACATAGAAATAGAGATGACTGAATAAATTTAGCTTTAATTTTTATAAATTTCAAAGGATGGTTATACTTCAGGGGATTGATTGGTATGAGAAAGCAAATATACAAATTATCTGTAGGCCACTAATTACTAAATGAATGTGACATTTGGAAGAAATACTACATCTTGTGAAATGTTGTCTTTTCTTATATATTTATATATTAATTATTTAGAGTGTGAATACAAACTTGCCCAAGTGGCAGCCTGTTTTGTTGGATAACTAATATCTAATAACACAGGAATTTAAACCTAAAACTCAATTTTTGAAAGGCTAATAACCCAATTATTAATCTTTTGTTTTATATTCACCTACTGCATACTTTATTTATTTGTCATTGTAGGAGAGCAGGGACAGCACAATAAACCGAACAGAGAAAACGTAGTTCTCATACTTGGTAACAGCTCTAGCGAGGTAGGTTCTATAAGGTTTTAGCTTGAAGAAGGTTCTGGTTCATCCATTTTAACAACTGAGTACTGTTACACATTAGGTTATAGATTAGGCCGCTGCTTCTGTTGGCTAGGATGCTGTTATAAGGGTATAAGTATGGTTATTTAAAGTCAAACATCTTTAATAAAAAATAATTCAATTTTGTTGGTTATGTGTATTTGTAGATTGTAGTTACCTAGATTTAAAATATGAAATTAAAAAAAGTCATGAAATAAGTAATGTTTTAGAATATACTATAGAGACACATATCAAATAGGTTTTAATTCCTAATTTTTTGCCTGACTTCTTATAACATTTAATTTTTTAAAGATTCATTTTATTTATTTGAAAGACAGAGTTACAGAGAGAGGTAGAGACAGAGAGAGAGGTCTTCCATCCGCTGGTTCACTCCCCAGATGGCTGCATCGGCCAGAGCTGCGCCGATCCAAAGCCAGGAGCCTCCTCTGGGTCTCCCATGTGGGTGCAGGGGCCCAATGACTTGGGCCATCTTCCACTGCTTTCCCAGGCCATAGCAGGGAGCTGGATTGGAAGAGGAGCAGCTGGGACTAGAACTGGTGCCCATATGAAATGCCGGTGCTTCAGGCCAGGGCTCCAACTTGCTGCGCCACAGCGCCGGCCCCATAACATTTAATTTTTAATCAGTATTTTGTAATTAGATAATATTTCTGCCCAAAGATTAATTCCTGAAGTTGTACTTACGAAATATGATTTTTGTATACCTTAAATAAAAGGATTCTGGGAAAAGAAAAGTTTTAAAACATACAGCCTGACTGAGGCCCAAGCACTTGGACCATGTTCTGCTTTTTCCAGGCCATTAGCAAAGAGCTGGATCTTGAGTGGACTGAGTGGAGCAGCTAGGACATGCAACGGCACTGCTATGGGATGCTGGCATCGGAGGCAGCAGCTTCGCTCACTATAACACAAGGTGGGCCCCAAGATAAAAGATTGCTTGTCTTGGAAAGTCTTTCATTTCTCTTTCATTTGTGAAGTATAGCTTTTCTGGATATAGTATTCCTGGTTGCCACTTTTTAACTTCAGAACTTGGAATATATCATTCCATTCTCTCCTGGCATGTATAGTTTTTGCTGAGAAAATCTGTAGTTAGTCTAAGGAGGATTCTCTTATATGTGACTTAGCTCTTTCCTCTTGTAGTTTTAAAAACCATGTTGTTTATAGTTTGACTATAATATGCCATGATGAGGGACTTTTCTTATGTGTTCTTGGGGTCCAGTGTGCTTGGATGTTCATATCATTCCCAAGATCAATACAGTTTTCAGCAGTAATTTCATTGCATGTATTTTCTATGCTTCTATTCTCTTCTTCAGTGATCCTCTAAACTCAAATCTTTTTTTCTCAGAGTCTGTCTTTATTCCTTTTATTTATTTTAGTCTGACTTGGTATTTTGTAAGATCTGTCTTCAAGTTCAGATATTTTGCTTAATCTATTCTGCTACTGAGGCTTTCATCTGTTTTTATTTGACTTACTGAGTTTTTCATTTCAAAGATTTCTACTGGCTTCCTTTTCAGAATTTGTATTTCTTGAATTTCTCATTTACATTATGCGTTGTCTTCCTAATTTATTTGAAGTGTCTGTATTCTCTTATATTTCAGTGAGTTTCCTTCCTTGAATTATTTGTTAGGTATTTTGTCAACATCCTTTTCTTTGGGCTCTGTTGCTAGAGAATTACTGAGTTTCTTTGTAGGTGTTATGTTACTTGTTTTTCATACTTTTTGTGTCTCTTTGTTGAGATTTGCATCTAAGGTGGGTTGGCTGTCCCTACCATTTTTTTTAAAGATTTTTATTTATTTATTTGACAGGTAGAGTAACAGACAGTGAGAGAGAGAGAGAGAGAGAGAGAGAGAGAGAGAGAAAGGTCTTGCCTCCATTGGTTCACTCCCCAAATGGCTGCCATGGCCGGCGCTGTGCTGGTCTGAAGCCAGGAGCCAGGTGCTTCTTTCCCGGTCTCCCATGTGGATACAGGTGCCCAAGCACTTGGGCTATCCTCCACTGCCTTCCCGGGCCACACCATTTTTATTAGTGAGTTTTGTAGTGAATGATCTCTCCAGATGATGTGTCTTAAGGTGTTGGTTCTGTAGGCTATATGGATTTTGTTCTAGTTGGGCACATTAGTATAGTCTGTCTTTAGTCATTAGCTTTAATTGATGGGTTTGGTTGGAATGCATTTGGAGATATGACTAAATAAAACTTTTGGATCTGAAGTCACATGGAGAAGGGGTACACTAGTGACCTGAGCAGTGAGGTACATATAGCAAGAGTAGTACACTCAGATGGTGCTACTTCAGCAATGGAAGTGTAGTGCCAAAAACATTTACTCTGTTTCCTCAGCAGTGATAGTGGAGGGTTTGACATGTAGATAAAGTAATGGCACAGAACTGCACAGTTGCTGGCATTGGGTATGGTGGATGTGTGCTCTAGTCAACTGGAGGCGTGGACTAGAAGTGGAGGTGGGCTAGAAGTGGTGACTGGGGGCATTTGGATTAGAACATGAATCTGACAGTAGTGGTGGCTCTGGGAAGCATCTGGTCCTGGAAACATGCTTTTGGAGTCAGAAGCAACTGGGATCAACTCCAGGCTGGTCATAACTGTGGCTACAGAGAGCCTGCAGTATGGATACAAGCCAGGGGTTGAGGGGAAAGTAGCCACCAGGGGTAGAGAATCTGTGCTAGGATTCATTCCTTTGGTTGATGATCAGCCAGTGGTGTGATTCTGCCACCAGTGTCACACTGCTGTAGCAACCTAGGCTCTGGGTTTTGGGGGAAGACAGTTGTAATATTCCCGGAGGCAAAGCTACGGTGCAGATTCTAGGTGGCTCCCATTAACTTGGCTCTAAGCCTGTGACGTCTGTGGAACACCATTGTCAGTAAGGTTCTGGCTCCCATACAGATGGGTCCCACAGAGACTCTGCCATTCACTTTTTCTCCTTAATGGGGCTTCTTTTTGGCCAGGAAACCATGGTTATTGTCCAGTATGCCTTATTCAATTGAATATGCTGCTATCTTTAGTCTTAATGTCTTAAAGGATTCTTATTTCTTCCTTGCTGGTTTCCAATGTGTTTACCTTGAAATACAGCTATTTATTTACTCTTCTGCTTCCTTTCTGTGGAGAGGCTAATAACGTTTGGCACCTGTATTCATCTATATTGCTAGTCAACTGCTCAAATATTTTTTTTTTTTTGACAGGCAGAGTGGACAGTGAGAGACAGAGAGAAAGGTCTTCCTTTGCCGTTGGTTCACCCTCCAATGGCCAGCGCGGCCGGCGCACCGGACTGGAACCCAGTGTGCCGGCGCCGTGAGGCGGAGGATTAGCCTAGTGAGCCGCGGTGCCAGCCTCAACTGTTCATTTTTATACCTTACAAGAAGCTTTTATCATGATGATATGTCAGTATTTCCATTTTTGGGGCCATTGCTGTGGCTCATTTGGCTGATCCTCCGCCTGCAGCGCTGGCATCCCATATGGGCGCCGGTTTCTGGTTCTGGTTGCTCCCCTTCCAGTCCAGCTCTCTGCTGTGGCCTGGGAGTGCAGTGGAGGATGGCCCATGTGCTTGGGCTCCTGCACTCGCATGGGAGACCAGGAAGAGGTACCTGGCTCCTGGCTTCGGATCGGCCATTCGGATCGGCTTCGTGGTGGCCATTTGAAGAGTGAACCAACAGAAGGTAGACCTTTCTCTCTGTTTCTCTTTCACTGTCTACAACTCTTTCGCAATAAAAAAATTTTTTTTCATTTTTTATTTGCCTTCCTTGGCATTATGATTACTCAATCTTGTTTTTTATAGAATTTGGTTTAAGTACTTTGTGCTGGTAGTTTAGCCAAAATTAGATAATATATTGTAATCAATTTAGGTTGGCATTTGTAAACTTTAGTATATTGCAAGACATGGAAAATAAACTAATGAAGTCAGCCCTATGCTTTTTGTCAATTTCCGGTTTTTCCTTAGTTAACACTACGTATCATGTTACATGAGATAAAGAATGCCAGTG